TGTCATGGGTGCAAATTGCCCCCCTTAATGGGATCAATAAAGCGGCTTTTTTTTTTTTTTGAGTTTCTTCATATCCGCCTTATTCTGAGTAAATCAGGCTTTTGGGGTAATTACAGAGGTGCCGCGTTGGAGCGGGCAAGGGCTTGGGCCGGGGTTTGGCCTGGCTCCGCCAGGACTCTTTTTGTCACTTTTTGCCCCTTCGAGAGCCTTTCTTATTTTCGGTAAAGACGCTCAAAATAATAGTGACCATAAAGCCTTTTTCTTTTCTCTTCTTTTCTTTTTCCCCCTCTCTCTCTGCCCCTCATTACGTCGAGGGTGCCTTCCTTCCTTTGGCACATTTGACGAAAAAAAGCATGCACTGTGGCCCCCAGGAAATCCGCCGATCACCTGGCTCCCCCTTCCCCAATTATGACAATAATAACAGCAATCGTCCATCAACGCTGCCTGCAAAGCAGGGCTCTCTAAAATCCTCTGCTAGAAGCAGAGGAAAAGTGAACAATGCGCAATTACTGCTAAACGGCCACACAATGGCACGTTGCATACGCCGAGAGAAGGACGAACACTAACCAATACATGCATTTTCCACGCACTTCTCTCTCTCCCTTTCCTATTTAATCTATACATACACATACAGATAGCTGGAGAGACACACATAGCTCTAAAAGCGCGAGAAAAAATAATAAAGAGAAAGCATCCCCTAAATATAGGAGGGTAGATAATGGTGCCCACATATATTCTGGAGATATGTGTATATATATATACACATGGCAATGGCTTTGGGTATACACAAGCACACGCACACAAGCACGCACGCAGCAGCACAGCAACTAACTGGGCAGTATATCTCGCCTATCGTGATAACACAGTCATCACAATAATATTTTACAGCCTCGAGCTCTGTCTTTTCAGAAGAGCGAGTGCTGTTTCCAAAGGCGAGCAACTTTGGTGCTGGTGGGGGCGCTGGATTTGTTTTTTATTATTATTATTTTTATTTTTAAAAAAATCCAATTTCCAAAGTGCAAGGCTTAGATTGAGATGATAAGCGAAGAGTTACCTTTGTTATTGTTTTCCTTCAGCTGGGAGGAAGGGAGGCTGGCCGGGGAGCGGAGCGCGGAGCAGCCCACCTCCACATCACTGTTCATATCTGCCTCCGGAGCAACTTCGGGGTAAAGGTTGATTTTCTTCCTGCTCTCCGACGAAGGGATTTCGGACGAGACGGTGCTTTCGCTGCTCGGATGTTGAAGGTTGAATAAAGTGTCTATTTCAAATTTGCCTTTGGCAGAGATGTCCCCTATCGCGCTATGCAGCGAGGCGGGAGTCAGTCTCGGGCTGAGGCGACCACTGTGTTGAGAATTTTCAAGGGCCTCCAGCACCGCATTTCCAGCTGAGTCTGACAAATTCGAGAGCCTTTTGCCAGCTGTAGGGCTGTGTAGCCCTCTCTCCATCAGGATCATCTCTTTTCTTATTCTTTCCATCATCTCAGCTTTATAAAAAATGTCAAAGTTGCAGGGCTGGTCCTGTACTAATGATGAGCTGCAGCAGGGGCTAATTCACATTCAGTCCGGCAAGTGTCTCTAAATATTATTATCTCTTTTTGAGGGAGGCGTAAAAATTGTGGGATGCCAAAGCGAGGGAATGACTGGTCAAAATGACCCATACATCCTTTCTAGCCCGAAATGTCATTCATCAAAAAGTAGTGCTCGTCATTAAGGTACGAATGACGCTGTTCGAATAATCATTTATTGTAACAGGTTTATAAGCAAATAAATACAAGCTCCTGTCAGTGGATAATGAAGGCGGCTTCTGAGCAGACAAATATATCCAGGTGGAAGGAAAGAGAGACAAGAAGTGAGGAGTAAAGCTCTTGTCCTTAGCTTGATCAGATCCTGCTTGAATTGCTCTGGGGTTTGGCCTCTGGGGTGAAATTGACAGTCTGATTAATAAAATGAGCTGTGCAACATTTCCCCCTTCATTTAGGTGCATCATTATGCTCTGATTTTTGTTTTGTTGCCTTTTAGGTCCTAATGATGCAGCTTCTCTCTCATTTGTCCTCGGACAGAGCTGCACGCTAAATATTAGCTAATGTTTTTCTTTATTCTTATCTCGGAGGCGGATTTTAGAGCCCAGAGAGAGGAACCGTTGTCGTTCGGCGGACAGGGACGCTCCTGTCGCTGACATTTAGTTACTCTGCCCTCTTCGTTCCTGGCTGCATTGCTACTTTTATTTAAGAATTATACCAGCACCCCACACACACATCCTCGCCCGAGCAAACCTTACACTGCGACTTTGCTAGTGCTGCTGCCGCCGGCACCCGCCGATCCAAGGGTACGAGCAGCACTTGCCTAGAAACGGGAGTATTTGCTGTCATTCCTGTTTTCTAATATATTTTCTTTGTTGCGTCCTTAAATACAATCTCATTTACACTTGCTGTAATTCCGCTTCTCGAGGAAGCTCCGCGCTGGCTTTTCTCCCCTCTGGGACAGCACTCACTGTTGTACGGTACGATAGGTGCGGGGGGGCTGGGGTGGGGGAATAACTGAAGGATATTAAATGCATTCGTGATTTAAAACCCTCGGTAGCCGTTTCCTTCTCTCGGCAGGGCTCTTCCCAGAGTTTTCCTTCTCCCCTCCCCACCGCCACGAAATTCTACCCAGAAAAAAAAAAAAAAAAAAGCTAAAAAGAAACGAGCTTTCAGGCATCGAGATAAGTATTATCTTTAACACCCTATTCCCAAAGTTACCTGTGGCTCAGCTAGCTCATCCTTGCCCTCCTTGCCGGCGGTGCGGAGCACAGCGTCTCTGGCTCGCTGCAGGGGACACGGGCCACCACGCTCAGCAGACGTGACACTCTCAAAGTCTGCCTTCAGCGAAAACTTTGCTAATGACGCTGATGGCAACCATTTAAACGGAGATAAATCCTTTGTCGCTAGCATCTCTGGAGTGCTCTTCAGTAGCTTCCCAACCTTTATTCTCGCTGTGATTTTTTTTCACCCACATGATCTAATTTTGGGGCGCTGGGATTCTGAGTTTGATCGCCCGGAGAAACACACCAGTGTTTCCTGTGATTAAACGTGGGTTTGGGGTTTTTTTTGCGAGGAGAACTGTTCCTGCTAATGTTAAAGTCACACACATCTTCTAAGTTCTTGTGCTCTTGCGCATGATTCATAGCTCGAAAATGGGATACTTGTCACATTTTTTTAAATAACGTGTTAAAGTCTCCCTAAACATTCCATGAAATATTTAAGAAACATTCTAGGCGTTGTTTGCAAAATCCAGCCTGCTATTAATGAGCTTTTTATGTCAGCCCTTTGAAATGTGAATTTAGACTGCCGTGCGGTGTCCTGCCTTTTACAGCCCCTAAACCAGACAAGAGTAAATAGCAACTTTCCCAGTGCCCGCGGGCGCAGCGGCGGCGC